ATTAATTGAGTACTAATTTCCAAACAAGTACTATTGTCCAAATAATAATAATTGTGTACTCATTTATACATCAATATACCAATTATTGTTATTTACAAAAAGAATACTACTTTCATACTAGTATAATTAATATAAAGGCAACATTTGACTAAACACAAAATTTAATAACAAACTTTACTACAACTTAAATATTTATATTATTCTTTGGATATAAACAAATAGAAGAATCTTGTAAAAACAAAATTGGTGCAATTAGTGTTTTGTATGTTTACTGATGGCCATTATTATGATCATTGTGTAGTCAAAGACTTACTATAAGACAAAATGGAATAAGATAAAATGATCAGAAAATATGAAAAATCAACATAAGCATGCTAAGTTATAGTTTCAATTTCATATCCAACATGTATAATCAATATGATGATTATCAAAGCTATTACATAAACTAATGATTTAATTTTTTTTCAAGATTTAATTTCTTTTTCAAGACTCAAGTCTGCATAAATTTAAAATTGTGTCCTTTTGGGCAATATTTAAAGCGTACCAATTTCACACAATAGAATCCAACCCTAAAATCGACAAATTTTCTAATAAATGAGTTGGAATTTGGCCCTTCTGTGGAGACCATGTGCTAGTTTCTGTAGGAGAGCTGAACTATGAGTTAGCTTAGTGGTCACAGACTGTAATCTATCGTTTAAAAACTGCATCACGAATTGTACCTGTTATGGGCATAGGATTCAATTCCCCTCGAAGTTACGGAGTGAACTGATTTGTGGAAAGATCTCAAACAACCATGAATTCTAAGAATGCTGACAAATTGGTCGTCGTACGATTTGGAAGCGTTAAAACTCTACGGCAAAGGTAATTATTCTTTGTCGGAAGAACCACCACCAGAGAGACATCAAGTGATCAAAGTGATTGGTGAAGAACAGGTCGTCTCGCCGAGTGACATCAAGATGAATGGTTAGGGTTTGAATATTATTATTGAGGGCATCAGATAGCTTGAAGCAGTAGATGAGAAGAAAAGGATCCGCCATGCGTTAGCTTGGAGTAGAAGCTCTGGGTTCCTCGGAGGTTAGATAATCGACGTCGCTAGGGTTTTGACATACTCCCCGTCCCCAACGTATAAATTCATTCTAGGAATTGGACATTAAGGATGATGCTTTATTTTCTTAATGTTCTTTGATTTGAATCAACAATCTTGAAAACGATGTTACGATGGAAAAAGAGCCTATTGACATTTCACTGTGTTAGTATCACGACATCATGTTTCTAGAGAATCTCCCTACAGTCAAATAATTGAAATCTCATCATGCAATTCACAATAAGAATTCAAGTTGTACAAAGTGAATATTTATATAACACTAATTTGACCCCGAAGCCTGATAAAATGACAAATATCGACGGGTTTAATGGTTAATGAGTGGTGAAGGTTGAAAACATTTCGTTTAGAGGTGACATATTCATATAATGGATTTGACTAAGACAATCCATACCCCTAATTACGAATGGCAATGGTGCGGGTTCGGGCGGACCATGGTTTTCCAAACCTGACACGATAACTTTAGGGTATCTTATCGGGACGCCCCATTGAGTTTCGGGTTTTCCCGTCGAGTTTCGAGTATCTTATCGGGTTTACAACAACTGATAACGAAATCTTTATTCCGCTTTAGGGTATCCTATTGTATTATAAAAAAAATACATGTTTTAGCATCCCTTTTAAATTAAAAATATGATGAATTACTTAAATAAAATAAACTGGACCTTATATTAAAAACTATTTTATTTAAGTTTAGTGTAATACGTCAAAACATAAAAAAAAAAAAAAAAAATGATCATTCACACCAAATTGTTATCACTAAAAAGATGGTTTAAAGTAAGTATTTTATCTTTGAATGTGTGCAATTAACATCGAAATGATTTAAACATTATATATATATATATATATATATATATATATATATATATATATATATATAATCGGGTCGGGGCGATGATAACTCACTCCCTGCCCCGAACCAGATAAAAAATCCGATAATAATCGTTACCCGACCCGAAATGATCGGGTTTCGAGTTTCCATGTCGGGTTCGGGCTTTTTTGCCATCCCTACCCCTAATCTATATCACCCTGACCCAAGTGGGATCTAAACCCTCAACTAGTTGAGGTATTTTACCAATAACTCACCAAAGTTCTAAATAATATAGAGTTTGATGTGAAATTAATGTCAAACATCAAGCTTTTATGAACCGTAGCATTTCAAGCATGACTAAGTGCGTCAATTTTGCATATGATTAATAATTATATGTATATTTTCTACTATTATAAATTTTTATACACATATATGACTTAAGACGATGTTTTTTTTAAGATGTGACATCAAGTACAAGCCTAATCAGTCATTGAGTACATGATATATTTTTCATATGATACTCCTTGGGTTAGGACTTAAAGTGGTGTGTGAAAGTTGTTAGAAATCAAATTTTGAAGGATATCACATATCTTTCTATAAACAAAACATAAGATCACATGTTTTTTGACTTCACATATCTTTCTATGAACAAAACATAAGATCACATGTTTTTTGACTTCACCCATATTATCTATCTTGCTATTGTTTGTGGCACGTTCAATCAATAAGATTGTTCACATTAGACTGTCTAGAAACATTAATAAATAATGAAAACATAAAGTAAACAATTCATTGATAAAAATGCAATCTCAATGATAAAAGGTGCCATATACCCACGACGAACTCTAAGTTCGTTGAATCCAAAGGAGATTGGAAACCTCAGCTCAACCCAACCCATATAACCTGTTTAAGTATATGGGTTCACGGGTTCACAAGTTAGTGGGCCGAACGCATCCCATATAATCCGTTTAATAAATAAGCAAAATATTAAAAAAAAAAAAAAAAAAAAGAGATTTTGTCAACATAAAATCATAAAGTGATTAAATTAATTAACATAAAAAATAGAGGTTTCAACATAAATTCATAAAGCCATTAACATCCAAATAAAAATAAAAATAAAAATATTCATACAAAGTGGATGTATTCTTCGTTCGTGACTCGTAAGTATCTAAAAATGACAACATTTTTCTATTAGGGCACTACAAAAACAAACTAGTCACATAAGGATACGGAAGAAATACAATGATACGAAATATTACGAATACAAATATGGGTTGGTGGGTTGGCGGGTTGATGAGTTGGCGAGTCAATAATATCAACCCAAACCTGACTATTTTCGGGTTGGATCAGTATCGGGTTACAAATTTGATCGAAAATTGTCGTCCCTAATTAGCAGTTGTAAGGTATTAATCATTAAGCCCAACTTACCAAGTTACCATAACACAAAAATATCTATTTGGCATTGAGTAACCACTCTTGTTAAAAACAAGAGGCCCACGTATCTCACATGATCTAAGTAATCTTTGTCGCATGATAGTAATCTTTGATCAATGACTATGCGGTGGTAAAAGAAATATCTTAGATGCTGTTTGTTTTTTTAAGTAAAAATTCATAAAGTTTGCGGACCACCTCTACAACCATCTGCAGTAGAAGAGGTGAACCAAACGGCTGCAGACTGTAATAAGAAGCGTGTTTGTTTTTTTAACATCTGCATGCTGCTGCAGATATTAAAAAATTAAAATAAACTAATTTTATAATCCGAAAATAGTTTTTTAATACCGAAAATTAAATAATGTATAATCCGTTTAAGCAAAAATAATGATATTTTAATAAAAAATAAAGATATTTTAGCATAAAATAATGATATTAATCAACAAATTGTTATTATTCAATATAAAAAAATTCAACAAGAAAAAAAAACAAAAAAATGTGAAATAAGATTTTATAAATATATAATCAATATTTTAGAAAAAGAAGAAGAAGAAGAGGTAAGAAAGACCAAAAAAGTGTTGCGCCAAGAAAAACACGTGCAAAGGTTTTTTAATCCGAAAACTTCTGAAAAACAAATAGCTGCGAGATTAAAAGTGTTGCATGTGTGCCGCGTCGTGCAACAATAAAAGGCCTGAAGAGGTTTTTTCTAAAAAACAAACAGCACCTTAAATAACGTTCCAAATTTATACGTTATTTTTTTGTCTTTTTTCTTATAAAAAACAGTTTTTTTCTTAAAATGTTTTTTCCCATGGAAAAATAAGATGTTAAAAAGACATTTCATCTATACAGAGTTGTAAAAATTGGCAGGGGCGCTAAGGAGTCTCTTACTATCTACAATTAATGTTAATTGGTTGAGTTAAGCGAAGTCGGTCATAAGCAGCTATAGGCGGTCCTCTACAGCTGTCCTAGATGGTCTAAGCCAGTAAAAAAGCCAATCAAAATTTTCAAAAAAAAAGAACTCCGATTAGTCAAATTTATGATATTGGCTAACTAAATTATGATAGATTGATGATTAAAACTGTTAAAAATTATTATATACAATGATTTAAATATTTAACCGATAGAATATGCCAAAATTTATAGTTTTTTATTTATTTTATTAGGTTATAGGTAATATTTTTTTTTTCTTTTAAATTGTGTTATAATTAAAAGTTTCCGCCTAGATGTCAATTAATTCTTACCTAGACCGATTAGTCTCTTAACCTCAATTAACCGTCCGACCACCGCTAACGATTTTTATAACCTTAATAAAACCATAAAACCATATACCTTGTTAAGAACCAAAAAAAAAAAAAAAATCAGAACCATAGCCCAAAGAAACCACACAAATTAGTCACTATCACTAGACATTGGTGCATAACTCAATATGTAGAAGATATCGATCCATTTGTACACCCCGCAATCTTGTGCATATTAATAATACATATAATTACATCGATAAATGACTTGAGTAACCCAAATTCATTGACAAATTTTATTTCTTCAGAAGAAATTATACAAATCAAATATCCTTATGAGTATTTCACTAAAATATGAAAAACGCAATTAACGTAACATGCTAATCAAGTGATTTCAAGAATGACATAGAGCCGTGTATTTATTTATTATAGTAACCTTCCCTTTGTATATGTAAAGATAAAAATATCAAGAACTCAAATTAGTGAAAATACTTTCGTTTATTTACACATAAAAATAAATCTATAATCATAAACAATAACCAAATAGATAACTACAAATATTCATGTTACATCAAACCACATGTTAACCAATCAAATTTGTCAAAAACGATTATAAAACACAAAAATGAAGTCGATAAACATACCATAAAAAGCGGTATTCACACAAGAAAGTAGACAAGGTAGGTTACAACAAGAAGCAAGGTACACATCATTCTAATAATCAAACATGAAACATAACATAACATACAAAGTTGATAAGCATATGACGATGATGATGATGAAAAACAATAAATAGTAAATAGTAAAGAAGGTATTCACATAATCTCTACTCACTAGCTTCCGCTTTCCATATGAAAACCACCAAACATACAAACCTATTCATTCCATCATAGGGATCGACCCCCCTGCTTGCAAGATTTGTTGCTCCAACTGCAGTTCAGAATAAATAAATATATGGAACAAGGGTAAAAACGTAAAAAAAATAACTATCTTTTGGTAGCAGACATACCCTGAACAAGGCTTCCAGTTTGTTCCTAACCAGAATGTATTCATGTTTTGCTTGCTGCAGACACTGCAGACACCTGTAACCACAAGCCATCAGAATAGGGGTATTTCTGTACTTTTGACCTTGAAAGTCAAACGCACAACTTCCAATTTATGAATATGTTCCAACTTTTAAGAGAAATCCAGTATGTAAATAGGACAAGAATCGATGTTAAAATTTTGCAATACCGAAGACGTTTTCTCCATTTAAGTCCTGTAATTTTTTTTACAAATCTGCCCTTGTTCATTTTTTCCTTGTGTTTCCCCAAAATTTCCCAAATATATAAAGATTAAAGAAGCACAGGGTGTTACTGACCCCTCAAGGTTTTTCTCCTCACAGAAGTTCCTGAAGTGAACACACATGTTTGTGACTCGTTGTGCCCCTATGCTGTTACAACATATTCCAAAAAACAATTTAATATTCTTTTCAATCTTGTAAACATTGTAACAAAAATTGGTGTATAAAACTATAAATTATATAAAAAAGTAAAAACTGTAACTTTTTATCAAAGATACGCGAAAACTGACCTGGAACTACTACCCTTGAACTGGTGGACATGAGAATCAACCTGCTTATAATCCACAACTTTCTGTTGACTTTTTTTGTCAAAAAAAAAAAAAAGACATTAAGACAAGGAACAGATCACTATCATGATATCATCTAAAATACGTAAAGAAATAAGAATCTTGATCAGGGAAAAAGAAGCTTACAGAGCAGTTGCCAAATTGTTAAGAAGCTTCTCAGAATCTTCAAAGAAAAGGGACACCACTTCAACCACAAAGTCAGGGTTGCTCTCATCTTGCAGCTTCTGAAGTTGTGTGAATTGATCATCAAGATATCCCTATCAAACACCCAAAAATAAATTGAAAAATCCATCCAATTATGCTTTGCATTTGGATGAAATTGCTTAAAAAGTACAATGCTCTAATACAAGAAAATGAAAGTTGAATCAATGGAAGTACATTGCTATTTCTTGTATTTAAACCCTGAGATAAAAGAAATTACAAACCTCATTATACAGAGACGTTGTGTACTCGATAAATTGTCTTTGCAATTGAGTGACGGAAGCCATGGTTTCTTGCTTTTTGAAGAAGACCTTTCACACTACTTTTTCCTTCCAAATGAGAGAACAAAAAAAACAATTCATTTATTGGGTTCCTTCAAAATGAGTAGACGTACATACATACATACAATTATATATATGTATATACAAGGCAAGAAGGTGCAAACTTAATGGTTGGGGGAAATATAGTATTGATTTATCAAAATGAGAGAAGAAAATGACAACTCATTTATTTGGTTTCTTTTAGTACAATTCCCCAAATAAGATTCTGTTTTGTTGCCAAAAGTGACGTGAGAACCTATCTTTTCGACAGGATCACATTCTCCAATTTCCTTACATAGTTAATTTCACCTTTGATTTTATGGTGGGACACAAAAACCACATTTAATGGGTTTCATCATTTTCAATTTTTTCTTTAGATTATCTTAGTGATGCCATTAGTTGAATCTGATCTGTGATAATCGACGCCAAAAATATTTCTTAAAAGCTACTAGAACTCATGGGATTCGTTTAGATTGTTGTAAATATATTTTTTTTGATCCTATATTTAGAAGAAAAATCAAAATCTTGTACTTTCCACCTACGAAGAATCAACATTAAAAATTATTAGATAAAAGTCAAGATATTTTTGGGTCCCACACATATCAAGATAACAATAAAGAAAATAATCAACATTACACGTTTTTCCCCTTTCGGTTTCCACTTACAATTTTCACAGGAAAATTTCCTCGATCAAACTTAATTTTAGAAAAATAAAAATTTATGGTTTCGGTTTTGAGATTAAACACACAAGTATTCTCCAAAAAAGTAAAATATTAAGGACTTGATTACAAATCTAACACCAAGATTTCTAAAGTTGGAATCGAATTATGAACACTTTGACAAATTTCAAGAACTTATATCACATTTGAAGACCCCAGAAAACAGTAAATATGGAAAACTGCTTCATTTATGATTTTGTACTAAAATTTAAAGCGCCTTTATTAACTAAGAGGGATGATAGCAACTGCAACCCCTTCCTGGCATTAGACACTCCACTCGAACAAGACTTAAATCTGGATTTAGAGGTTACTGAAAGACTGAAGTAATATGATATCACCAAAAGAGAAACATGTACACATGAAGATGAAAAATAAAAACAAAAACATATTACAATCTAGAAAAGTGGATCGAAGACGATTCTTCAGCTGATAATATAAAATTATTGTACCCTACAGCATACTTCCAAGCTTAACCTAATCGATCTAAAAGTTCGCAATAAAAAACCCTAAATTTCACGTTGAGTGGGTAAACCCAGAAGTTAATCACTGGAATCCATGTAACCCAGTAGGAAAAATCTCTACTTTTTTATGAAGTTGGGTTAAAATGACAGATTACAGCAAACACCCGGATAGAATAAAGGGGTGGAAATAGTTACCGGCTGTGATACTGGTTTGCTCCGGCGAATCTGCTGTGGAGATCGGCGGAGAGAGAGTCGTCAACTTGGTGTAGTACCAACTACAAACAATACAGTTAAGCAAGGGGAAGATCGGAAACAAAAGAGAAGACAAAAGAGAGCATATGATTTTATTTTGCTTCACCCAAGATATTCGATTAGATTATCGCACGTTCTGAGACAAACTGGATCTTGTACGGTGGGGATTCATTGAATTTGGCAGGTTGGTGACCCCATCATTCATCCAAAAACAAATCAATTCATGATAAAATATTATTTTAAGTTCAATTTAAAAAAAAAAAAAAAAAAAAAATTTACATCTTGCAAAAGGTTAAATCAAAGAGGAAGTGAACATGTGAACAAACTAACAAACTTTAAATGTTTTTCCATTAATGTATCACCTGTTTGAATATTGAATAGCTTTGTTTACTTAATAGTCATTAAATTTTATCTTTTGTGTATATCTTATCATGTTTTTACTTTTTCGATTATGGAGTAAATTATACGAATGGTTCTATGGTTTGGGGTAATTTATTCGTTTGGTTATTAACTTATTTTTTTTTAACTTGGAAGATCCTTACTGTTTGTTTGTGATGCGCGGTTGATCTCTGTCTTACCTAAAAATGATTATTTTGCAATTTATTTGAATAAATACATCTCTAACAACACTTCCACCTCACTTTACCATATATTACATGTCTCGTCTTATTTAAATAAATTAAAAAATCAATGACAAAATAATCTTTTTAGGTAATACATGAACCAAATGCGCAAAAAAAAAAAAAAAAAAAAAAAAAAAAAAAAAAAAAACTATAGAGGCCTTCCGAGTTAAAAAATAAGTTAGGGATCAAACGTGCAAATTACTCCAAACCATAGGAATCATTCGTGTAATTTACTCTTTTTTATCCTACCCGACAACAATGTCATATTTTGGGATTTCATGTCGTCATCTTCAAATATGTTCTTCAATGAGCTTTAAAAAATAGAAGTGACAATATCAAAGACAAATCTAAGTCAATAATGAGCTTTAATGTGTTGATTTCGTGTCTGTAATTTCTTCGGTCCACGACTTGGATAGAGTTAAGCGTCCAAATCTGAGGCTCTGGCGAACCATAGTATCAAACATAATCAAAGAAAATGAAACACAAGCTGAAGACCTCAATGGGATTGCAAAAGCATAACACCACCAAACTCCAATGAACAATTAATATGCAACAAACTATTCGTTGCTCTGATTAACGAAAAATGGTATTTGTATAGTAGTATATCAAGGTATGCAACAATGATAAGTTATGTTTAAATATATATGTCCATAAAGAGACAATATTACAAGTTATTCACTAAAATGATATAACTTTCACACATGATGCAACTCATACGCCACATGATGTATGTAGATCCTCATAAAAGAAAAAAAAAGTTTGTGTAGAATTAAAAAATTAGGATATTATGGTAGCAAGATAAACAAGGAAATAAATGAATAAACCATATGATTAAAAAAATATTGTTATTATTCATGAAATATAAATGTCTACTCAAATACTATACTGGAAATATGTTGAGTAACTTGACAATAATTGCTTTTTTGTAGGCGCTTATTTTGTCTCCACTTATGAAAGTAGAGCACAAAATGCATTGTGATGTGTGTTGGAATTATTGTACATATTTTTGTTATTTTGTATAGCTTATAATGGTTGAGGGACTATTTTGTAAATATGTTTAGATCTGTTTGCTGGTAGTTAAGTTGATTAGATTTTTGGTTTATATACTTGTAAACGATTTCATTTTAATCAATTAATGAAAACAAAAATCTCTTTCCAAATTCTCTCGTTTAACATTGTATCAGAGCACTAGTTCATGATCTTGATTTTTCTACATTCTATTCAGTCTCTTCATGAATCGTTATTCTTCTTCGATTCGTTCTTTTTCGTTTGTTTCAATCATGTCTGGAAATGATCCAATTTCTACGATTTCTCAATCATCTTCTTCGACCACCATTGAAGCATCTAATCCTCTCTTTTTAGCTTCATCTGACAATCCAAGCACTGTTTTGGTTTCAAGAGTCTTTGATGGAACTGGTTTTGCATCGTGGAAAAGATCCATGACACTCGCGTTATCTGCCAAAAACAAAATCAGTTACGTTAATGGAACTATTGAAAACCAGCCGAAAATTCAAATCAATTCGAAACCTGGAATCGAGTTAATTCCATAGTGATCAATTGGATTATGGATTCTCTCTCAAAGGACATTGTTGAAAGTGTCTTGTTCTTGCAAACTGCTAGTGATATCTGGAACGAAATCAACCACCGTTATGAACAAGAAAATGGTGCGTTAATCTATCAAATTCAGAAGAAGCTTTTCTTAACTAATCAAGAATCTGAAGATTTATTGTTGTTGTTTATGTTGATGATGTTTTGGTGATTGGCAACAATCAATCTGAAATTTCAGAACTCAAAAATTTCCTTCACACAACATTTCAAATCAAAGATATTGGCCAAATCAATTATTTTTTAGGCCTTGAGTTCAATTCAGTTCTTGATGGAATGATTATTCATTAGCATAAATCCATCAAGGAATTATTAAAGCAGTATGATATTAAAGAAGCTTTCAATGTGAAATCACATTTTCCCACCAAACTAAAGGATCTTCATTTTTCATCTGATTTTTTACAAGATCCTACTCCATACAGGCAAACTAAATTTTCTTGCTCACACCAGACCATATATTGCTTTCACTACTCAATTATTGAGTCACTTCAATAGTCAACCTACACAAGCTCACATGGAAGCTGCAATGCATGTATTAAAGTATCTACATGGAACCATTTCACAATGCTTACTATTCAACAACTCCAATAATTTCAAGCTTGAAGCTTTTTGTGATAGTGACTAGGCAGCTTGCCCCAATACAAGGAAATCTGTCAGTGGATTCTATTACCTTGGAAGGAACTCCTATTTCATGGAAATCAAAGAAGCAATCTACTATCTCTTTGTCATCTGCTGAGGAAGAATACAAGTTAATGCGACGAATCTGTTTTGAATTAACATGGCTTAACAGATTGCTTGTTGAGTTTGAAATCCCATATATCACACCTATCCCTCTCAAGTGTGATAATTTGGCTGATATATATATATATATATATATATATATATATATATATATATATATATATATAGCAACGAATCATGTTTTTCACGAACGGACAAAACACATTGACATTAATTGTCATTTTGTCTGAGAAAAAGTTCTTGATGGCCTCATTTCTTTATCTCATATTCCTATTAAAACACAACCAACAGACATGTTAACTAAACCATTGGGAGAGAAAGATCATGCAGAAGCTCTTGGCAAGTTGGGTTTTGTTTCCCAACTCCCAACTTGAGGGGGCTATTGGAATTATTTTATATATTTTTGTTATTTTGTATAACTTATAATAGTTGAGGGACTATTTTGTAAATATGTTTAGATCTGTTATGTCACACCCCAAAACCGGAACAACGGAAATCGTTCTGGGGCGGAGGATGTCATGTACAATATCACAACACAAAATAACAGTAAACAAGCAAACAACATCATCCATTGAATTAATAATGTATTTTAATACAAGTGTGTTATGTATAGTTTATAAGACACCAAAAATATGAATCAAAATAAAAGATGAGTCTTGAATGTGCTCCATCTTCTCAAAAGTTGGCATCGGTACCTGTCTACTGATGACCTGAGAATACAAGTTATTTTGAAAGAGTTTATCAACTTTAAAGTTGGTGAGTTCATAAGCATTTTAGTGTCATTGTTTGTATCAAAATGTTTGTAATAGTGTTTGAAGTATGAGTTTGTAAATGTTTGTAGTCAAAGTTTGTGAATGCTTGTAATCAAAGTTTGTGAATGCTTGTAATCAAAGTTTGTGAATGTTTGTAAATGTTTGTATCTCCTATAAAATCCTATATTTTCTACTAAAAGTAGCCTTCTACCAAGGCCCGACTATTTTGTATGATCATTTCTTGTAAAAGTGTGTAATTTTCCCAAATATGACTATCATTAACCAAATATAGTTTATACATTACCGTTTATGTGAGAAGATCACAAAGTGAATGCAGTGGGAAAATAATATAGTAGTGTAGTGTTGTATTATAGTGACTACTGTTGTACTAACTACCTTAAACTGGTTATTAAAGAAGGTATAATGTGATATGATTGTAACCATACTTGATCGACCTAGTAAAACACAACGCTCGAAGACATCAAAATGGTATGACATTCATCACCTGAAGACCTTCAGGTCCCACTGTAGCTAGCAGCAAGGTGTAGGACGATCAGTCCAGTATAGATCTATACACGAATTCACGCTCTCCCTCCAGATGACTCTGGTTACAAAATGAGCCATATCAGTGATTCCATGCCCCGAAGTAGTGACTCACATTTATGTTATAGTAATCTTGAATATGAGTTGTATGTACTAGTGTAATGTATGTTCTCTCTGTCTAGTATATAGTATGTTCTCTTTGTTTCTCAGCATAGTATGTTCTCTTGTATAGTGTATAGTATGTATTGTTTCTCATTATAGTATTATCTATCTGTTTCTCATCATAGTATATTTGTATAGTTTCTCACAATAATATGTATTGAATCATGTATGAACCGACTCTTTGTATGTTTCATTGTATTAGAAATAGTGAGTAATGATTTCCTAATCTATACCTATTATAGTTTACTAGTATAGTTATTTGTATAACTGAGTGTATTGAACTAGATAAAAGCCTTCGTATCTTTACATATATACATAATATATAACTAAGGATCCAACGACACTCGGACAAACAACAGGGTATCTAAGTCCACAACCAAACAAGGAACATGAAATAAAGTGAGTTATCAGTCCTAAGTCCTTCAATCCTTACTTATATAACTATATATGTAATAGACGTGGTTGTGACAATATATAAGTTTGAAAGTTGTAAAAGAAAAGTTTTAACATATAAAAGTTAGTTTGATAAAGAGTTTAACATGTAGAAGAGTTTGATAAACAGTTTGAAGTAGTTTGATTGATAAAACAGTTAAAAGCATAGTAAATCCATTTGTTTGATAGTTATTAATCACATACGATTGATATAATAACTATAATCTTTCAAATTGTATCCCCCCAATAAAAGCATTTAAAATCATTTAAAAAGTTGATTAAGGGGTATGAACTCACCTATAGTGAGTAGATTGGATGAACAAGTGGTATTGGATGCTATGTTGGGTTTTGAGCATTCTAACACTCCTAAGTGTACATGCAACCCTAAATACCTTGAATCTATGTTTTCTCTATTATACATGCAAATAAGAAC